AATGGAGGATAGGAACTAACAAATGGTGGAATAAGGAGTGCACGGAGCTCAAAAAAGTAGCAAGAAGGGCATTAAAGCAATGGAGGAAAAGAGAAGACAGCAAAGATAACAACGAGAAAAAGAAGAAAGAGTACAAGGACAAATGCAAAGAGAAGAAAACAAGATGGCAAGAAAGAGAAGATCAAGAAATACAGCAAATCACCAATGAAAATCAAGCGTGGAAATACATTGATAGAGGCAGAAAGAAAAGAACAGAAATCACAAAAAAGATCGAGTCGAACAAATGGAAGGCCTACTTTATGCAGCTTTTAGAAGGAACAGAATCACCAGGAGATAGCAACGGTGGGGTAAATGAGACCACAGAACCAGAAGAGAATGAAGACGAGATAACTGGAGCGGAAATACGAAGACAGATAGCTAAACTAAAGAACAAGAAAGCCCCAGGAGAAGATGGACTGGAAAATGAAGTATGGATAAATGGAAGCAGGAAGGTAATACAAAGGTTAAAAGAAATTATAAATAGGGTATGGAAAGGAGAGGGGCTGCCGGAAAGATGGAAAGAAGGAGTGATCGCCCCTATCTTCAAAAAAGGAGATAAGGAAAATTTAAAAAATTATAGAGGAATAACGCTGCTCAACTCGGCGTACAAGATATACGCAATAGTACTCGAAGAAAGACTGAAGGCCGAAATAGAAGACAAAAACATCATCCCAGAAACGCAGGCAGGATTTAGACGAGGTAGAGAAGCACGATAGATAACATTTTTATTCTGAATTACATCACAAACAGAGAATTAGTCAACAAGGGAAGAAAAATCTACGCCTTCTTCGCGGATTTAAGCGCCGCATTTGAGAAGGTGGACAAAGAAGAACTGAATAAGATAATGGAGAGAACAGGAATCAGCCAGAAGATCAGGAAAAGAATAGGTGAGATTTATCAGGAAACAAGAAACGTCGTCAGAGTAAACGGTCATACAACGAGTAGATTTTGGACAACCAAAAGAGTAAGGCAAGGATGCCCCCTGAGTCCAACGCTCTTCACGCTTTATACGGCGGATCTGGAAGAAAGGATGAGGAAAGGTCAAGCAGGAGGGATAGTGATAGGAAGAGAAAAAATATGGACACTTGCCTACGCAGACGACATGGTGCTGTTAGCCAGGAGTCCAGAGGAGCTTAAGGAGATGATAAGTAGATTCCGAAAGTATTTAGAAAAGAAAAAATTGACACTTAACGCTAAAAAATCCAAAGTTATGATCTTCAAAAAAGGAAGGGGTAAGAAGAAGAAGGAAGAATGGAGATGGAACGAAGAAAGACTGGAAAAAGTCAAGGAATTTAAATATTTAGGGTTTTACTTCCAAAAAAACGGAGGACTGGAAACGCATATAAAAGAAACAGTCAAGAAGGCGGCGATAGCAATGGCTCAAGTATGGAGTATTGGACAGAGGAAATTCAGAGAGAGTGTAGACAGGAGAATGAAAATGTTCAAGAGTCTAGTGGAAAGCATCCTATTATATGCAGCGGAAATATGGGGATGAAGAGAAGAAGAAAAGGTATAAAAGTTGCAAGAAAAATATATAAGATGGACTCTAGGACTGGATTTTAACACACCGGCATATCTGATACGAGAAGAAACGAAAATTGACAAAATCAGGATAGAAGCTGGAAAAAGAGCGATGAAGTACGAAGAGAAGACAAAAGAAAGGCAGACGAACAAAATAATCGCGGAGTGCTGGAAAGAGATACAAAACAAACAGGAAGGGAAGAAAACAAAATGGGAAAAAAACAGGGACCAATATTATAGGAAAGTTAGCTCTAGCACATGGGATACAGGAAATGAAAGCTCTGAAAGAACGAACACGGAAGAACTAATAATGACGGGCCGGAAAGAACAAAGAGCAGAGCAAGAGAAAAGGATAGAGGATGGAAGGTACTGCGCTAGGTACAAAGAGCTGAGAACTGATCACATCCCAAGGTATCTACAAAAAGAATACAAAGGAAGAGACCAGAGAATGATTGCAAGGTATAGATGCGGAAACGAGGAGGAAGGAAGCAAGTACTGGAGAAAAGAAGAAGAGAGAGTATGTAGAATATGTGGCGAGAAAATGGAAACGATAGAGCATTTGATGTCTGACTGCGTGGAGCCTCTAAGGGATTACAGAAATATCTAAAACATTTTGAAAGATACAGGAGAAGGAGCAGATTGGATGAGGAAAGTGACCAAGCACAGGAAGGACTTAAGAAACGTACAAATACAAAATGAAACTGATAGCAAAGAAATAGAAATGTAATATAAAATGTATTGTAAAAAAAAAATCGCATCTCAAAGACATGTAGCACTCCCTTTCAAGGCCGAAAGGCAATTGAAATAAACAAATTATATATAAAAAAATTTGTTAATATAATAATCACTCGCGCGGAGCCACGTAAGTAAGATAATATATTTATCACTTCCTGAAAAATAAAAGTAGAATTAAATTAGTGAAAAAGCTACTTATAAATTATAACGCGGCAAACTATAATAATTTTATTTTATAGAGAATATATACCGAAAGCTGACAAAGCGCTAAACGCACTATCTGCACTCGCGCAGCACACACACGCGCCCTGGTGTCGAAAAGTGAAAAGGACGCGACTGCAGCCAATGAAATGATGGCATGGCATGAGAGACGTCGGCGTTAGGAGGAGAAGGAGGAGATCTTAATAAAAAATTTTCACATTTCAACTTTGCGTCGCAATATCTCCACTCGTAGGGTACGTAGCGGAATATTATAAAAGAAACCCCTCCCCCCAAATCGACCCAAGCTATCGATCAAACTTTCTTAAAACTTAATCCGTTCACTCGTTATATGAGATCCCAACATCTCGAGTATTCGCAAATCGTCGCGTCGCGTAAAAGAGTCACGGTTGGTCTCGCGCCGCGTGTACTTGGCGCGAGATACTACCGTGTCTCTTGATAGTAGTTTTTATAACCGATTTTTATAAAACCGATTTCCAAAAAATTGGTAACAAAAACGTTGCAAAAATTAGAGCAATCATGTACATTTTCTTAAACAAAAATTTTAAACCTTTTTATTACTAGCAATTTTTTTAATCCTATTACACACACATTCTTTAGTTCTTTTTCTACCCTTACTTTATATACAATTCTTTAAGATTCAGTCAATTAATTCCCGAAAAATTGGCGTAACCGGCTTCCAAAAAAATCGGCAACAAAAAATTATACACTTTATAGTACTTTGAGGAAAGTTCTACCCCTGTTTCATATATAATTCTTCAAGATTCGGTCAATTATTTCCCGAAAAATTAGAAAAATTTCTGATACCGGTTTCCAAAAAATTGGTATCAAAAAATTATCCATAAAAATTATCCATAAAAAAATTCAGCTTGATATCTCAAAGTTTGCGAAAATTGGAGCAATCACATACATTTTTTTTTTAACAGAAATCGGAAACCCTTTTACTATTAGCAATTTTTCTAATTTTATTACATTTTTTAGTTTTTTCGACCCCTATTTCATACATAATTCTTTAAGATTCGGTCAATTACTTCCCGAAAAATTGGAAAAATTTTGGATACCGGTTTTCAAAAAGATCGGTAACAAAAAATTAGACATCTGAACATATTAGCATCAAAAACTCAAAACCAATCTTTTCTTTGGTTCCTTTTACCCTTATTTCATAAAAAATTCATTTAAATGTAGTTGATTAGACCTAACTTTATACGCAATAAAAAATTCATATACAAAATTTATGAAAACAAAGCTTCCTCTATGAAAAACCGGTTTCCAGAAAATCGGTAACAAAAAACTATACACATCATGGCACTCCCCGGAAAATTCTACTCCTATTTCATACACTTTTGGTAAAATTTCGGTCCACTAACAAATGAGTAGTTCGCGGTCAGACAGATAGACAGAAGACAAACTGGTTTCCAGTGGCAATTAAACTCATCCTCAAAAAATTAATAAAATTTTTTAATTAAAAAATTGGAAAAATTTCTGAACCGGTTTCCAAAAAAATCGGTAACAAAAAATTGTACACTTTATAGCATTTCCCGAGAAATTCTACTCCTACTTTATATACAATTCTTTGAGATTCGGTCAATTAATTTCCAAAACATTGAAAAAATTTCGGTACCGGCTTCCAAAAAGATCGGTAACAAAAAATTATACATTTTATAGTACTCCCCGGAAAATTCTATCCCTGTGTGATCTATAAATCTTTAAGATTCGGTCAATTATTTCCTGAAAAATTGTAAGAATTTCTGATACCGGTTTCTAGAAAATCGGTAACAAAAAACTATACACTTTATGGCATTCCCGGGAAATTCTACCCCTACTTCATACACAATTTTTTGAGATTCGGTCAATTATTTCCCAAAAAATTGGAAAAATTAAAAAAACCGGTTTCCAGAAAATCGGCAACAAAAAACTATACACTTTATGGCACTCCCGAGAAATTCTACCCCTATTTCATGTACCCTTGATAAAAATTCGGTCCACTAACAAATGAGTAGCAGACAGACAGACAAACAGACAGACAGACGTCCGGTACTTATATATATAGATAGATAGATAATTTTATATATATATATATATATATATATATGTTATATTTATTACGCTCTACAAGTTAGTATACATTTTAAATTGTTGTGCGCATTTTAACAATTAAAACAAATATAATTAATATATATACACACACACAATATATGTATATATACATATATAATATAATATGCACAATACATTTTTATCTTTGTTTTCAGGAGGATCCGGTTTTCTTATAAGAAGATTGCCAACAACCTCGATTGCGCATAAGCAAATCGTACCTTTATAAGTCTGACATTGGACGTACAAAAGTTGTATTTATACACGACCATATTATTACACACATGCACCTTTATTGCATATAAAAAAGTATCATAAAAACACATTGTATATATATTATTATTGACTATATTAATAAAATAATCATTTTTTTATTTAAATATTTTACGTTTTATATACCTTATCGATATTATATTTATTATATTTTACTTATATTTTAATTTTGTAACCAATAATGACACATGTACAAAGTGTTACTATTACAACGTTATTATTTTTTCAGGCAAATATAGGATTTTTGTTTTGCCTTCTACAATGATCAATAATCGGTATTAGCTTTATAGGCTTGCATTTGTTTTACGGATAGGGATAAATTTGGCACGAATTGGATGAGCAGGTCGGAGTACCAAATCAACATGTATCCGAATATTTTTTAAATAATCAATAGGCTCTAAGTAGAAATTGTGTACCAGAGGAGCTATCATCGCCTTCAATTCCAGCATAGCAAATCGTTGGCCTATAATTTGGTACGTATCGTAATCCGTTTATGTAACAAGGTATTATACATTATACATTTAATAGGTACATAGTATTACATAGTATTATACATTTATCAGAATATAAAAAATTATAGCTTACCGATGCAATTACGTGGTCCAGCACTAAAGGGTAAATATGAATAAGGATGACGATTTCGGCTCCTCTCTGGTAAGAATCTATCGGGATCAAATACTTCTGGATTTGACCAAAAATTCGGATCTCTATGGACTGCGTAAATATTAAGATGCAGGAATGTCCCAGCCGGTACTAAATACGACTCTAAAAAGTATATTATACAATAAGATTTAAAAATAATAATTAAAAGCTTTATAAAAAATTTTGTTATTAAATATGCATCTAATACAACATAGGAATAGATGCCTATAGTTTGAACGTTTTAAAAATATGATGTAATTATTAAGTTTTATTAAACGTTATTTGCTTAACATTATTTTTTGTTAATATTGTATCTTGTATTAAATGTAGCGTGTATACACAATTTTTGGAATACTATATAAATAAACTTATCAATAAAGATATATAATCAAACCAAATAAGTAACCTTTACATCGACAGTGAATAATTAACATAATTAACAATAAACATTTTTTTATTTGACCTAACTGGCTATTATATTATAATTGTCATACGTTATAATACGATCATTGGTTTTGGTTAATTTATTGTCAAGACTTTTTCACCATAGGTTTTAGTCTTTCTATAGGGGTATTAATGTATAATTTTTTATGCTTATATAATATATAAATTGTCTACAGATATTATAGCCAAAGCGATTGCCTACAACTATTATTACGCACATGTAATAATTAAAAATAAGTACGTAAAGTCACGTGCGCAAATGTACGTTTGTATTTTTAATTATTATATGTCCCTTATGAAAAAGTACACTCAACTTTGATGGTCAACACCTAAATTGAGTGTTAAATTGAGTGTTGTCATCAAAGTTATGTGTCAACACTTAAATTTAGGTGTAGATTGAGTGTTGACCATTAAGGTTTAGGTATGTCGTGGATTCAATCCTCAATGATGAGTGTACATTGGGAGATTACTCTTAATGATAGGTGTAGGTTGGGGATTAAGCCTCAATGTTTAGTGTAGGTTGAGATTGATCCTCATCGTTGAATGTTGGTTTAGTATTAACAAAGTGTTAACCTTTAATATTCTATGTCGATTTAATCAGTGTCGCCATGATCCCTTTATCGTTGGGTGTCGTTTAAGTATTATTGTGTTAATTTTTGTTCAATTTTCAGTGTCAATTGACGGCTTGGTTTATTGGAAAAGTGTTTCAGATATAAAAATGGAAAGGTTTGAAGGGGGCCAATAGATGATCTTATTGGATTTGGATCCAAGGCTTGTATTGAGCCTAATAGGGCCCAAGTCAAATTATTTAAATGCAAACATTGCCATTATATAAAATGCAATATGAATAAAAAATTATATTGTATTGGCAAACATGGATAATGTAAATATTTTTTTATTTGAGCATTACAAATAATTGTGTTACAATATTAATTTTTTAAGGTTTCTATTTCCATTAAATAGTTACTTTATAACTGTAAAAGTCACAACAAAATTCCTGTTTGTAATTTGACAATTTTGAAAATTAAAATATTATATAATATATTACATAATATATAAAATATTATAATATATAAAATATTATATATTATATATTACATCCGTTCATTTATTGAACAAGAAGTTAAATTAACCAACTAATTAAATTATTAATATTAAATATTAATACAATAAAATATTTGTATTTACATTTGTCAAAATAAAAAATAAGTTTAATTATAAATAAATCAAAATAAATATTAATAATTGGACTTATTAGAAATTAAATAATTTGTTCAGATATTGCGCTCGAATTCTTTTCGCGTTTTACAACGCCCGATCGTTTCACATTAAATGGCGCGACGCGCGAGTCGTCACTTTCAAAGAGCCCCCGCCTTCTTCCTCACTTGTTAGGTGTCATGGCCGCACTTGCTTGCGTTTCTTCGAACGTGTCGAGTCCGTTGCCTTTTTCTTGACGGATTGATCGTTGCGGCGCGGTGTTCTGGAGACCAACCGAGCGAAAATCGAATCACCAGGGAGCTGAGCTCACCGCCAGGAAAGGAAGAGCTGAGGTAGCTAGCGTCCGAGAGGGAGGATCGAGGCGAGAAGTCCGGTCCAGCGAGCGGAGCCCTTAAGAAATTCTCATTGAGACGCCATATTTGTTACTTTCATTTGAGGGTTCATTTTATACCATCATTTTTAAGGATTAACCATTAATTGAAGGTTAACTATCACCTGAAGGTTAACCATCACCCAAAGAAAAACCCTTAAAGTTGGGTGTGATTTTGGACCGCCAATTGAAGGTTAACCATCATTTGAAGGTTAACCTTCAATTGGCGGTCCAAAATCACACTCAACTTTAAGAGTTTTTCTATGGTGTTTTTTTAACGGTCAACACTAAACATTGAGTGTATTTTTCCATAAGGGGTGCGCAATAATGCTTGTAGGCAATTAGCTTGTAGGCTTTATAGGCATTTGGGAATGTCGACAAACAAAGCTCTCGGTAAAATGTTGTGGGCAAACAAGCTGTTGAAAACAAAAAATGTAGGCAAACGGAGCTCTTATTAGAGCTCATACATTTGATAACATGCTGCGTAATATGTATATAAAAAAATGTATACAATAAGAAATTGGTTAGATGCATACGTAATTTTATATCTTCCGCAGGAATTCGTGATATTAGAAATACACTAGGATATAAGCGCAATGCTTCCTTTATACATCTGTCCAAGTATGGTAGGTCTTGCAATAATTTCATAGTAAATTTCTCCCCGTTCTCTTGTAACGCAGTATCGACTTCGTTCCTGACACGATCCTGCATCATTATTGTTAATGAAAAAGGCGATTCTGGTCATTGTGATGTTTTTGTGTAGAAACGATCGTTTAAAATATGTTTATATGAAATACATAATATGTATTTAATAAATAACTTTTGGAATTATTTAATTTTCCTTAGCTTAAGAATGGCGACGACCATAGATACCTGAATGTCCTTATGCTCAGCTAAAAGTGCCAAAATGTAGCACAGACCCATCGCTGTAGTGTCATGACCCTATAATCGTATTATATTGTATCATATATATCGATAAATCAAATAAGAAAAGTTGCAAAAAAGATTACAAAAATATATACCTCAAACATAAAAGTGTCGACCTCCTCCCTGATATCTAAATCAGTCAGAAGACCTTCGCGAGATGCCGCTATTAGAAGATCCAACATTGCAAGCCGTTTCCTTCGTACTAAATCGAAATATAGTATGGCCTAGTTTACACCGATCACTTGATACGCGTATTAAATAGTAAATAACTAGTAAATAAGTCTGATTATTGGCTGATCAGTTCAAATATACTATTTGATACGCGTATCAAGAGATCGGTGTAAACTAGGCCTATATATAAGCATGTCTGTATTAATTTGATAGTTTAACTTTTTGTAATGTTTTTATTACATAACATTAACTACGTTGAGAATTTAAACTATATATTTAGATTTTAAGCTGTATAATATATTGTGGAATATAAATTATATTGTAATATAAATATAAATAATAATATTATAAATATAAATAATATAATATAATATAAATAATATAATATAATATAATATAAATATAATATAATATAATATAAATAATATAATATAAATATAAATAATAATAATATAATTTATGTTATAATATAATATAAATTAGAATATAAATATTAAACATTGACCACAGATTTAAGGAACAGTTACTAATTACATTACATACTTCCTATCGGTTCTGCGTCATCTCTCTCTGCCGACGTGTCATTACCAAAGCTTTTCAAGTATTGATTATTAGTGCGATCATGATAAAGTTTTCTTTCAGCAATAATCTAACAATAAGTAAATACAGTGAATTAATGGTTCTTCAATTATTTGTATTTTACATAAATTCATTAGTAATGTGTTGTCATTATTGATTATAATTATCTTACGTTTTTATATGCGATAGAATAGAAACAATATGTAAAATATTTTTTATAATTGTTCAAAGTATAGATCTCTAAATAATATAATATTAAATAGCAATTTTACATACTTGTTCAGTAAATCCATGTAATATCTTCAGAGTCTTTTTTTGCTCTCTGCCTTTTGACGTCAACGAGAATATCCAATTGATGTAAAGCCATTGCCTGAATAATCTAAACATAATTTATAAATGTTTAGCATATTATTTTAAGAAAATGATAAATGTAACTTTATATAAAACATATGTTTATTTTTTTATATACTTCTACAATTAGTAATATTTTAGTAACTAATATAAAAAAAAATACATTTAAACACTAATAAAATTATGCTAAAGTGACATGTAGAATCTTATATAATTTAAACATTATTTATACTCCTTTCAACTATTTTATTTATAAAGGGTACCCCACGATAAGATAGGCAAAATGCCACTGTCAATGAAACGGAAAAATGACTTTGGATCTGCATAAGTACACTAAAAAAAGAATTTTCTACGATTTTTCCGACTATCCATCCCCCCTCCTTTTCCTAGTGGCACCAAAAAACCGCTTTTTTCAAAAATTATTTTTTTCTCCGGTTCCTTTATGTTAAAAATTTTGAAAAAATTTGAGAATATAGCTTATAAAAAGTACTTAGCACACCATTTTTTGGAGCTTTAGGCGCGTTGAATATCTAACCTAAAAAAATTAAATAAATATTTGAATTTATTTTTTTCTAATTTTTTTGATAGTTGCAGGTCTAATTACTCTAGAAAATTGTATATTTTAGTGTTCTACATGTATTAGAATTTTTTAAGATTTTTCGGAATGGTGGGCCGTACTCAAAAATGCAAAAAACCCTATTTTTAGCCACTTTTGGGCCTTTTATGGTCCTCAAATGATTGATAGTGCCTTAACTGACTCTAAAATAAACATAATATATTACTTTTGGATATATGTTGTCAATATTTGATACATTCCGATACGTCTCATATATTTTTGAGCATGAAATCAGTCATAACTCAACGAGAAAACCCTAATTTTTGTATAAAAATGCCTATTTTTCGTCGATTTCTGGATTTTTGGTTATTTTATCTAAGTTTTTTGCGTATGATTGGTAAATGTGAACATAAATAT